GGGGGGGGGGGGGGCGAAGGACCTGAGATTTCGGATATTACGCGACTATTTTGGTAATCTCTATGTATTTACATTTACGTGTATTCCGTGTGTACAAGATCGTTAAAAACATTAAATGTTTATATCCGCATTACGATAGTTCTATGCATGTATTTACATGTATTCCCTGTGTACAAGATCGTTAAAAACATTAAATGTTTACAGTTTTTCTTTTTTTTTTTACTTCTCGTCGCAATCGTCGCGCACGCTGAACAACCATTTCCGTCATTTAAATATCGCTCAAAGTCGAGATTTATTTACAAGTAGAAAAGTCATAACAACGCCAATATACTACCGACCATCGATATAATAATAATATGTATATGTATAATTACGAGAAAAATTGCAATACCTCACTCGTAAGTTCTATGACGTCGTCAAAACGCCACATGGTCGCCTAGCATCCCGATATCGATCTATCTTTCCAATCATCATTTGTCTATATCTTTCTTCTCCTCTCTCCTCACTTTCATTCTTCATTCGCGCATACACTTATTCGTTTCATTCGTTAATTCGTTCTTTCGTGCTTCGCCATGCACTCCTTTTCCTCGATCCACTTCAGTTCCCTTTCTCTCGATCTCTTTCTTTCTTCTTTCGTTCTCACTCGGTTAAATTTCCAAAAAAAAAAAAGAAAGAAAAAAGGTCAAGAGGACTGGCAGAAAATTCTCTATGGAAGTCTCGCCGCGATGTCCCTCACACTTCCGTATCTTCTTATGTACACCTACAAAATACATAACGCAGCTACCTATTTACTAGACTAATATAATTTTACAGAAAATTTACATTACGGGCGTGTACGAACGATGACTTTTTCTCTCCTCGCACTCGAGTTTAGCTTCTCGGCGTTATAAACGCCTTCCCTTTATCTCCTTCCGCGGAGATCCCATCGATCCGAGGACTTCGCGAACTTTCTGCGTTTCGATATGAATCTGCGAAATCAACGAGTAAAAGCTTCTTTAGGAATCATTTCGTCACCGAAGCTCCGATCTTACGCGGTTATTGTGAAAGCGTGACGCGATTGCGTGAGCTGATAGTCAAAGTCTCATGCTCATTCTTTCATCTCTGTTGTCATACATTATAATTTACATTCTTCGTATATCCGTGCACGAAAATCGGGAGATTGATGGACCGTTGCCATTTAAAGAAATCATATATCGAGAACGATTTTGCATTCTGATTGGTAGTCATTGCTGGAATACACTTTGGTCGTGAGAATGTGCACGCTTTATGCGTAACGTTACTCGAAAGCCGTCTGAACGACGAGAAAACTTCGAAATGTTCTTACGCGTTATAAGAATCATTGAAAATTTATAAAAAATTCTATTTACAGCTTATGGCCACGTAACATGTCAAATTATTAATCTAACCGTGTTTACACCGTAACAGTAGATGTCGAGCGACAGCATAATTTTCACGATGTTCCGTCGTGAGAAAAAAAATACAAAAAAAAAATAAAAATAAGTAATTTAACAGTAATTAAAAAAATTAATAGCAATAAGAAGACAATGATAGAGCACTAGCAATACATAACAGCCTGACAGATTTTTCAAATTCACTCGCAGTGCCAATCGAGTCAGCAAGATCTGTGTTGTTATCTGACAAATTTAAACGCATTTGTACAAGAGACAGAAAGAGAGAGAAAGAGAAAAAGTCGCTTCGACAATGCTAATGTGATCAATCGGTAGTTCCCCCCTCTCCCTCCTATTCGCGGACTGTCGCACTTACTTTTGACGCGTGCTTTATTTACAGGTTATCTATATATATATATACCTAATTATATGTATTATATTATCTTACTATTCCTAAGGCTAGCGTAGCTTGCTGCACACACGTGACGTGGTCCATGTGACGTATGAAGACACTGGGTGGTCAGTCGCTGTCCGAGCCGACGGGATTTATCTTTTTTCTCTTCTTGGCTTGCTTTGGTTTCACGATCTCCTCCTCCTGCGTGGACAAAACGTAAACCTTCCGCTCAACATGAAATTTGACTAGTTTCCGCCATTACGCGAAACCGATCAAGATGAACAAAAAATAGGAATTCTTTTCGTTTCCATTGAGTTAAGATTTTTAATATACTAACCTCGCTACTTTGGTCGCTACTCTCCGTATTTCTGTCACGAGGAGGTGGCCTTTTAGTGGCGGTTCTTTCTCTCGTGTTGACGGCAGCTTTTCTGTGTCCACCCTTTCCGGTTCCACCACCACCCCCTCCGCCGCCGCTGGAGGCTGTCGCGTGTTTCCTAGCGGAGGTCGGCGCAGGCGCCGGAGGAGGTTCGTTCTCTTCGCTCACTTCCGCAAGTGCAAAGAGATCACCGTAACTCTTCCTCAAGGAATCGTTTCCCGCAGCTTGAGCTTGCTGCAGCGCTCGTTGCATCCCTTCTGTATGGTAAAGCTGTAATTCTGACGTGGACGTGCAGTGCTGACGTAATTGGTCCAAGTGTCCAAGGACTTGCTCGCCCGTTGGTGGTCCATTCGACTGTTGATTGTGCTTCGCCCCGGAACGCTTTCGCTTATTGGGACTGGTGGCAGGATAACGTGTGCTTAAAAGATTCGCCAAAAGTTCAGCTAGCTTGTCCTCGTAATCGCGACACCAGTAGCGAAGCGCTGCCACTACGAACATGTCACCTTCTACACTTTGCCGGACGAGTAATTGTCTGAGAAGTTCCAGGGTCGGCCTGTAAGGATATTAGATGATAATTAAGGATAGTAAAAAGATAATGAAAGTTATTCCAGTGCGAGCTACACTTACTTTTCTTGTTTGAGCATCAAGAGGATGGACGTAAGAGCCTCGGCGTGATCTCGAAACTGCAACTTGGGTAAAACTGGTAATACGTAGTCTATGGGAAAGTCATGGGCGAACACGAGTTGCCAGAAGCAGTACTGCTCGAATGTTTCCCAATTGAGACTAGCAGTGAGGAGCGAGGAGAACGATTCCTTTTTCAGCATCTTTAGGTGTCCTTGCATGATCTGACAAACAAGCTCCTGCAGCTGACATGCGTCTACTGTCGATACGACCAGGTGTAGTAGCTGAACGTTGCCCAGTGCAATATTTTGAAACTCCGTATATACATCAGGTACCAGGTAACACAACATGAATATGTCGTCTTCGTGACAAAGCTGTATTCGATAAAACAATAAATTTTTTATTGTGATTCTGTAAATATTCCTGAGAAGATCAAGAAATTCGTACCTTCAAATCAGATACCAAACACGCATCCAGCTTCTTTTCCCGCTGCGAACAGAAATCCTTGTACACCGATGCTTTTACGTCGTTCAGAACATTACTGAAATATTAAAGAAAAAAATAAAGAAATTTAAAAGACTGACAGAGCACGTAAAAACAAAATTAAGCATATGAAAATTTATTTTCTTTTACACTGACCTCGGTTCCCCTTCTCTCTTTTCCTCTTCTCTACCCCAAACTTTCAAGAAATAAAGAAGAAGGTATCCTATTCTAGGCTGGATAGACTGCATCTCCGCAAGAACTCTGGCTAAAAGTTTTCTTCTATTGTCTTCCTCCTTGCATAGTTGGAATTGATTACGAAACATAACGAAGATTGGAGGGCTTATACTGTCTGCGAGTGACTCCTCATTCAAATTGTCGGTAGGAAATATTTGACCAGATATTTGAGGCGACAGGATACTCGAGATACAAGACGCCAGAGTGGGTATCGTTTCTGCGTCTATTTCATCTTCTACCACCATTTGTACTATCCTCTCCATTGTTTGACATTTAGCTTCATTATCTGACTCAAGGTGTAAACTCTCAACAGCCGTTCGCAGCTCTTCAGGCTCCAACATGAAGTTCATTTGTGGCGCTGCTTCTTCCTTCTTCATTTGACAATTAGCAATTCGCTGATTGTTTTTCATCTTGACCGTAGCTAGCGGCAAGTCATCTTCATCCTCCTCCTCTTCGATTTTCGGTACTATCCTGTAAAATAACAGTGAACGTGAGACAGAGATACAGGAAGGAACTAATCAATAAAAATCAATACTTTTGATCGGTCCTTGATAATGAAAAGATGGGGTGAACGAACCTTAACGGCATCTCTTCCTCCTCGTCGCTGAATGCTGGTTCCGGTTCTTGCCCCACGTGATTGTTCTCCAATGCCGTGCTTCCTGTATTCTCCAGCATGAGTCCTGGACCAAGGTCCTTACTAAGCTCTTCCATTTTACCTGAATATATTGGAAGTTTATTACCTGCTTCGGGACATCATGCAAAGACCAACGTTAGTAAGCAACGATTGTGCCAGGATGCGATGCAGCGATCGGTGACAATTTTTAAGGATTATTAATAAACGAATGATAAGAAACAGTATTTAAGCAATTGGACAACTCTCATTTCTTATATGAATGAAACGAAAACGAAAATCGTTGATAACAGCTTTTGTACAGAGATTCCTTCTCGAGGCTGAGCTGAGACCGCATTCTGCAAGGTTAACAATCATTTTAAAAACCCTTTCGCAATGATTAATCCAGAACTGAAATTTCTATGTGAATTTGAAACATGTGAAATATTTCAGGTCGGATCAATTCATCAGCTTTGGGTTAATTATTGCGGGAATGGTGTCAAAATCATTTGTTAACCTTGCAGAGTGTGCTGTCAGATATGCATTGGGGAAAAACTGTTAAAATCTTCCTATTTCATTTACGTTTACATTTCACTCACATTGTACATGAGACGTCCAGAGTTCCCTTAAACATGAATGATATGAATTGTATTAGTACGATTGTGAAGCGGACCAATGATTTTTCTTTCTTTCATTCTTTTCCCTCACTTACCGCATGACCTTACTTGTGATGAAAGGAATGACTAGCAAGCAGTATGAACGTATTCAACCTATATGTACATACATGGGACTATATCAATTTAGATGTAAATTTGTAATGGGTGAATATCACACAGTAAGAAAAAATAGAAAAACTGTAATAATACGATGTATCATAATTGAGCTATACTCTTGTTGATTGATTCATAACATTCCTTAAAAAATTGTAAGTTAATATGCACCATCGGACGCGTGTCCATAATTTCAACGTTATTTTTTTCAAATTTTAAGAGTATTACATTGGAATAGCGTTCTTGTATGTGCCATGGATATTATTAAAATGCAATATTTTATAAACATTTAAAAATCTCAAATAACAGTTATTGAAAGTGTTAAATAAGTGATCAGGGAATTAATATATGTAAATTAATTAAAAGAGCTCATACTACTTAATAAATGTCTATATGCAAATGACTAGAGTCTTTTTTCAGATTGACTATCTTTTCAAGGTGAACAACTATCAGCAAACGAATATATAAATAAAAATATTTTCATCTGATGATTTTCTCGTGATGTGCAATACTTGATGCATAACAAATTTTTGAGTGCCGATTACGAGACTGTGATTTGCTTTTACGTGTGTCAACACTACGAGCATGCAACATGTTATAAAATTTACCAGGATCACTGTTCGGTGGTAAACAGAATTCTTTAAAGGTTTCCCTGATTTTGGTTCGTAGCTCTCTATCGAGTTTGGGACTGTCGAAAAGCGGATAGAGGCTGGGGAGTACACGTTTTTCCAGAATTTGTCGCAAAGATGAGAAAATTCCGTTGCGCACTTTTTCCGTTAAAGCTGGGTAAAAATGTGGTATTATCTGCAAAAAAGAAAAAAAATACATTAAACGAAAAGATCAATAGAGGATCAAAGTAAAAACAGGCAAAGGTACGGCACTACGTATCACAATAGAAAGCTTGGTCAGCTGCTACAGCGATCGATAGCGCCAATCAGAAACTAGGTAATTCTCGTTGATTTCGAGTGACTTTTCCTTACCCTGCATAAAAAATCTAGAAGAGTGGCAGTTACGGCTGGATGCGACCTCATGGAATTGTGCATAACGAGAATCGCAGGTTCGATGTTCATAATGTTGTCCTTGTCAGGCTCGAAGAAGAGCCAATCGTAAAATAAGGCCAGTTTGGCATTACTGGCCGCCACGGTGGAAGTGCAGGTGGTAAAGAGCCACCCAATTACAGCCCAACGTGGAATAATATCCGAGCAAAGTAGCTCATTCGTTGGATGAATAACACCAACGATAAAGCGTATGAGATCGCATCTCAGAGACTGGGACTCGGGTGTTGCCAAATACTGCCTTTGGAACCAGTCCTGATATCGCTTGTGGTTTCCAAATCGCACTTGACTCGTTAGGAATACGAGTTTCCTTTCCATATCGGGAGTTAGTCTAGATTGGAGAAACCTTCTGGAAGTGCGTGTCTGTAACAGCTGCAATACTCCAGTAAAGTTTGGACAAAGGGATTTCGGGTTTAGAAGTATATCCTTCCAAAGGGCCTCGAATTCCGGAATTCTTGCTACGTTCTGAAGTAATCGCACCAGATCTCTGAAAGACAAGATTATTGTAAAGTATTACGTTAATTTATGAAAAGTAAATCTTAGTAAAAGATGTTAATGTGGTTTTGATTCTTACCTGCCAATAACTAAACAGTCGGTCATTCTTTCTCGTATTAGAGACACCATGAAGGTGACTTCCTTTGAACGCAACGCTGACAAATGAGGCGCACTGTGATCCTCGATAAGTCGCAAATACGTATAGACAACTGATGCCACGAGAAAAGGGAATTTGTCGAGCCAAGGTCTGTTCTCTTGGAAGATGTCAAGCAGGGCGTCGACGAGGAACACATTTCTCGCGGAAATGTCTCCTCCAGCGGCGTGCCTCAGTAAACTTAAACATAGGTTGTCTACATTGGCTACGCTTGTCCTTATCATTTCCCGCACAAGCCAGAGAAGCTGGCCTCTGGAGACGTCATGTAGTCTCAAGTAACGTTCAAGTACCAGCTGAGTGAGATGGTGCAATACAATTGCCAATCCATCTCGAGTTATTAATGTCAAGTCACGATAACTTTTTGCAGCATCTTGCGGTTCTGTCAAAATCACTACTAGCAGTCCCAAAGATACCTCTTCATGTGTTTTGTCCTTGCAAACAGCATTGTTCAGTGTATCGTGAGCTTCCTTTTCCGACAGACCTGCAGTCAGGTTTTGAAGCACAGTGTGGCATCGGTCAAATTTCTGGTAAACAAAAAGATATAATTAAAACAATAACATAAATGAATGCATAAAAAAATAACAGCAATCACAAAATACTTGTAATTTTAGTTTATGTATATCACAATGGCATATTACTCTAAAATTTGCAAGCTTCCATCCAATCCTTGTCAGGACTAATAAGTATAAACATGATTTAACTTCGTATTATTATAGATCATGATAGGTAAATTGCCTGTACAATTTATACCAATTATAGTAAATGACTTGTTAAACGAAAACTTCTTCCACGCACTTTACACATAAGTTGTGACATTACTTTCTCTGATTGCTTAAAATTGCAACTTGAATGAATATTTTATGAAAAAAGACTAAACGAGTGCCAAATAGTGATAAATCAAACTTCATTCTTATATTGTTATAATTTACTCTACGATTTTTCCATAATTTTACAAAATCGATCCAAAAAGTAAAACCAGATTAATCCCAAAGTAAATCATGGCCAATTCCAGACATTTCTGGAGGATCGTCGTGCCAATGGTTATATTACGACCACGAATAATACCCAATACAAAAAGCTGGTTCTCTTTCCATATACGATTCAGGAGGAAAAGATAACAAGATCACCACGATCAAAAAATATTTCTGATTAGACTAATGTTATAACAATTTTTTAAATTCCCGCCACGATTAGAGAAATTTAGACTGGTGGCGCCGTCTGCATATGCGCGACCATCGCAACAATGGCGGACATCACACTTGATACGTATCCAGCGACTATTTCAAATATTTATGTTACCTCTTCCAACTCGTCCTTGTTCTCGATGCAGGACGTATTGAGTAGCCTGGAGACGGGCGGTTTTGTCTGTTCCATCGCTGTTCCGGCTGTTCGTGGTATTCTACGCGTATATACGAGCCCTGATGAGCCCTGAGCCCTCAGCCCTGTGCCCCTGGCCGCTTGCCGTTTCTTCCGAGCATCGTGATCGCTCTGTGCCTGCGTCGTTCTTTCTCTCTCTCTCTCTTTCTTTCCCTCTCTCTCCCACTCGAGCTCTCTCTCTCTCTCTCGCTCCGGACGTCTGTCTCTACTCTGTTTATTCCTCGCTCGGAGCTCGGCTCTCGAGAAACGTTCCGATGCGATTGCGCATTGATACAAAAGCTTAGTCGCTCGTTCGGCTACGTGACGCGGTCGTTCTCCCCACCACTGCCCGTTACCCCCACTTCAACGAGTCTGGACCAATGGCGTGCCACCAGCCCGAATACACTCGTGGTAGCGCCGACTAGTGGGGGAAACGGGCTTTGAGTAAAGTAGTGCCAATTGCGCATGCGTTCCACTACGACCACACTCGCCACCTAATCGCATTGGCGCTCCGGCTGCTTCCCGCTTCTCGCAAGTACCTTTTTCGCTTTCCTGGCTTCTGTGTCTTCGCCTCTGACGACCCTTGTGGCTTGCCTGATTCTCCTGACTCTCCGGATGGACCTCGGGTGGCCACTACGTACGTTTTTATGGATCGCTCGTACGTCACGGGGGCTTTCCTAATCTTCCAGGACGTTCAACCCACCCTCACACGTCAACATAACCCCCTTAAAACTTATCTGCGACAATTCACTAAAAATTTCAGAGCTCACATTATATGGATTCTCGTGTTTGACTCCTTTCGGATTCTGAAGTGCGATTACTATTCCTTTCTATTCCTGCCACGTTTCAACCTAGCATCCCGTAACGCCAAGAATGTGCAACCATACGTTCATGTATAAAACGTTAACTTCCGACGAATTACCCCAATGAAAAATAACTGTCTTTCGCTCCAATTTCTTCTGAAATCTGTTTTATTTCTACCGAAAAAATAATTTCAGATTTTTCTTAAAATTTTATAACGCGTATCGTCACAGTCTAATACGATAATAAATCGAAATATGAAAAGAGACAAACGTCCACGATCAACCGTTATTATACTATTAACCTTTCGCGCGTGAAAGTAAAAATACCGTAATGAAAGTTTAGCGTGGTAAAGGCCGAGACGAAAGGACCGGAGTCGAACAATGAACATGAGAACGGTGAGCTGGCGCGAACCGTCCTGTACGCCGGTTCAGAGATAAATGACTCGAGCCAAAACACACCCATAGGGCCTGGCTACCTGCAAGCTTGATGTTGCGCATGCGTCCTGGAAGTTTCCCGTAAACATTCATTCTAACAGTTACGCTCGTTTATTTTTCGAAAAGAACGACGACGCGGGGTGCAATGTCTAAAGCCTTTCGAGCGCTATGAATGCTCTACAGGTCCGTTTATTTTATCGTTGTATCACTGCGCGTCAACGTATAAAGTAATTAGGCTACGGTTTTATACATACTCATTTGTTGATTATCAATGAATTATTAATATTCAATTAATAGAGCGTACTTGACATACGGGTATTGATATATGAAAATTTTTTTAACTTTAATCGCTATAGTCTAGAATATTATTCTTAATTGTATACTGCAGTTAAGCTGTCTTCTTCTAATCTTGGGTATCGGTATAAAATCTTCAATCGCGTGTTAATTATTATCGCACTGATTCCAAACACTTGGTCAAGACGCAAAGACAAGTGCATTGCCATTGTAATGACGATTAAGAGCAATGCTTCTTTTATCAGCTAATCTTTGCAGCTCCTGGTATTTTCTCGTTACGAAAGTCTCTAGCGTTGCAGATGTCGTGAGGTATTCTTCATTAAAATTGTTTTACATAATCGTTATATAGCAGAGTTGAAAATAACAACAAAAAGTAAAATGGTTATGCGCTTAATGATCTGAAAAATTATTAAAAAAAAAAACGAGAGCTCGTTTGGTTTTATGAGTTCTTGGTAAATTTATGATTACTTAATAAACAGTAACAATAATAGAATTCTTGTGGGATATGTAATTTGATAGATACCTTGCTAAACGTACGCTCGCATCTGCTCATCGCGTAAAATGAATATTTACAATATCTAGAAATGCTGGCCACTGGTTTTTGTATGTTAATGAAAATGGAAACTTGATGATAAAGTCTTACAATATTTTTTTTTCAAAATACTTTTACGCAGCGGCAATTAATCGCTGTTCGAAATTTACAGATCTGACTTTGTGCAAGTCACTCGTGGTAATTCGCAAAAACAAAAAACTCGCGCTTTTAGACACGGGCGTAAACATACATTAATCAGTATGTTGATTGTATGCAACTTCTACTTAGGCGGGTTAATTAAACAATAAGAACTTCGTTGTATCTTTATATACAAACAAATACTTGCTAAGGATATGCCACACACGCTGCCGTACGTTTGACATCTTAAGATTTCGATGCTTCAAAACTGGCACCAAGAATTAAGATTATAGTTAAATGATGCGCTTTTTGTAATAAAAGAAAAGGTCATGTAGAAATCGACTCGATATCGATTTTTGACATATAAACTACTAGTGCCTATAGCTCTTTTACGTTCTTTTGCCGATTCAATTATCAGTGAAGGCTATATTGATACGATGATGATTGAATTTTTGGCAAATATTCTCCATAATGGAGTATTAAAATCGATAAGGAGTTATCAGTCAAAATTTTTCGAAGATTAAAGTGCATGATTAAACAAGACTGAATGGTAAGTTAACTTGCGATATTTGCTACGATTTTTCTCGCTTGAATCTTTGTCTAGCTTGGGCTTTACTATATTTCGAGTGTCTCTCTTTGTCAGCTGTTTTGTCGTTATCAGTACTTTTTTGCTTTTCATCGCCACCGTCGGTAAGGTCGATTGGTGGCTCGAGAAGGGAACGTCGCTGACACTTCACGAAATAACGAAATCCTTTTGCGATAGCAAATCCCAGCATTGCTATGGATATGGTGAGCAGAGCCATCAGAAGGGGATGCTGGAAACATTGAAGATGACAACACGTTATTCAAATAACAACAACAGGAGCAATTATAAAATTGATTAATAATACGATAAAATCATTCATTCATTAGCTTCATTAACGTCATCTTTCACGTATAAGAAGGTCTTTAATTATCTTTTGATAAGACAATCTCTTACGGTCAAGGTCGGCTTATTCGTGAACACGTAATCTGCGATGACTACTATTACTCCAAGGATTATTCCAACACCAGCACCCAGCCACGGTATCTGCTGGTCGGCTGAAAAAGACAAAATTTGAATTTATAAATTAGCCATTTTAATTCTTTTAAGGACTATAGAAAAAAACCTCGTATGTCTTTGATGAGCTGTCTCGAAGCCCTGTTCATCGCTTCTAGTATACTAGGATCGTTTGGTTGAAGCGACAAGGCCTTACTGTAAGACTGCACGGCTTCGTTGAAACGATATGTGTGATATTCGACTTCAGCCTTCCGAAAGTAACCCTGAAAATTTTCGTAGATCAATAATAATAATAATAATAATATATTGTATCTCAGCTGACAAATTTTAATGTACTTTTATATCCATACCTTCGTCCAGTCGGGTTTCAGTTGTATCGTCATCAAGGCGTCTTCCAGAGCAAAATGATATTGCTGCATTTTAAGAAATACATACGATCGGTTACTGTACAACGAATAATTTTGCGGATCCACTTTAATCGCGTGTGTATAGTGAAACATGGCCTCTTCATATTTTAATTCTCTGACACACGCATTTCCCTCTTCCTTCATACGCTGTACCTGCAAAAAAATGGCTTCGTTAAGTCGATTGCATTACACGTTTACTCCTGACCCCAGATCAGAATGCAAGAATTCTAAACTCATAAGCTTTTTCATTTCTTTACTGATCTCGATCACAAGAAAACTAATTGTCAAATATTGAGCACTGAGTATATAGATCGCACCTACTGTCCTCTTATCTACTGATAATCGGTCCAGTGTGGGAATGTAACATTTTTGTTCTTTAAAAAAAAAAGTTGACAAACATTCTCTGTGATATAAAAATACAAGCAACGAAGTAATAGATAAGAAATAGAATAAAGTGTGAGCTACTGTGTGATATCAGGAGAAAAATTCTAAGGAAAGAGTTGAATGATCGGCAAATGTGCCGCCGTAATATACTTTTGTCAATCTTACCTCTGCGGCACGTCCAGTGGCCATTTTGCGTGCTTAGCAATGCTCGCCGGCTGGCAGCTTGATACAAGAGAGATACCAAAACGTATGGCCTTTATTCATAGAGAGTCAAAGAAAGCATCGAATAATTCACGTGGATATAATGATCAACAATGGAGAGCAGACGAAACCCCTGTCATGGCGATGCTCTGAAGCATGATACAAATAGACGAGGTATAGCCACTAGCGAACGTATTTTGACCCGGATCGCGCAGGTCCAATGACGTCACGTTCGAAGTTACATGAAGCCACTACATATGTACAACAACACCACCGCGACAAAACTCTCAATTTAAATGAATCGCACAGAGATGAATAGGGAAATGCTCAATGCTACGGGTTTAGGCGATAACAAGATCATGGCGCTAAATCGTAGCGGCGAGACTGGAAGTAGGATTCTGTGATAGTCGCCTCCGTCGACAATGCGAATCCCGTTGTAGCCGAGCTAAACGTGAACACGATCGCGTAGCTTGGCGGCCAGAGGTTCTCCGCTACTCACCAATGGTTCCCAAAGAAACCCTTAAAACGAGACCGGGAACAATAGAACTTCTCAAGAACTATTGAAAAAGCCTATTGTTGAAACATTTTTAAGACATTTTTAAGTAAGTGCCAAATTGACACCCGCGTAGCATCTCAATTTTTATTAAATATTATTGGACCTTGATTTATTTTCAAAATTTATTCTATATATAAAATTGCGGTTAAATTAAAATCTCGCAGTATATAGGAAGTAGATAAAATTTGAATTGCAATTGTGGAATATCCAAAATATATTACATTCAAATTGAAATATTAATAAATTAGATGTTTGGAAAATTAAAATAATTAATTAAATAATTAAAGTAAAATATTAACACTTAGAAATCGGAAATTCTGGCCAAGCATATTTAGAAGTACTGGAAGTTGCCCAAAATTGTGCGCGCGCAACTCGTTACGCACGACTCGGCGAGCGAAGGCAGGCGGAAGGTGGGGGGAGCGTTCGAGGCAGAGCCCGGGACTCACAGCGCTCATTCTTCCTCGAGCCGGTCTCCTATACTGGTCTCTTGGAAACATTCCTCATATTTATTTCCAACCTTCTTCTATTTTTATATTTATTTCTTCTTTACTTCGTTATTTCTTTATCTTTCATTCTTCACTTTCTTATTTATCTCTTTCCTCATTTCTTCTCCACTTTCATAACTCTATTCTCACTTCTCACTTCTCACTTCTTTATTTCTATATCCATTTCCAAACTTCTTCTATTTCTATATTTATTTCTTCTTTAATTCCTTATTTCTATATATTTCATTCTTTACTTTCTGATTTACCTCTTTCCTTATTTCTTCTGTACTTTTATACCTCCATTTCCTACTTTTCTACTTTTTAACTTCTTAAATTTTATCTTCATTTCTTTCATCTCGTTTCGCTTTGTTCCCTCTCACTTTCACTTTCATAACTCTATTCCTTACTTTTCTACTTCACTTCATTTTTATATTCATTTCTTTCTTATTTTCACTTATATCAT